TACAGAATGCTATTTTGTTTAGGATAAATGTCAGTATTAGCTATGCATTTTTCCATTAGGGAATTTAGAATGAAGCTGGCAATCAAAAATAGTCCTTAAAGCTAAGCACGGAGTTCTACTGCATGGGCAGAAAGTCAGCATGCAACAAGCTTTTCATCAGAAGTGTGCTCAGGCTGCAGCCAGAGAACACAGAAGCAGACTCAGACTCTACAGGTGATTTCTGAACTGAAATCACTGTTGTGAGTAAATTACTGTTTAAATTGTGAGTAAATCACAATTACTGTTGTGAATAAACTATTGGAAGTTCAGTCAGGACGAACAGATCCCAGCAAGACCAGGTTATGGGGGATGTGCACAGGGCTATGCAGAGCTCAGGAACTGTGTCAGAGTTCAACTTGTAGCAGTTTGTCTCGCAGTGACCTCTTGTTTCCAGAGAGCTGGAGGTCATACGTTACACATGTGAATGCTTTGGTGAATTTTTCCTTTACAGTTTGACTCTTCAGAGGGAAGAGAAGAAGGCTTCCTGCAATGCTTCAGTCTGGGTTTTGGTTAGGTTTAGATTAGCACAGTAGCAGAGTGGATGTACACTACTGCCTGTGTTTGTGGCCAGAAATGTGTTCTGGGCATTCAGAGCTTTCTGTTCTCCTTTGAGAGCATGAGATGTTCAATTATTGTTGGTGGATCTTTGAAATCCTTTTTTAATGATACAGTTATCTCTTCTTTAAGTTTCTTTTATTCATAATCTTCTGTATTGGAAGGAAAGTAGGCTCAGTCACACTTCAAGAATTCCCCCGTGCACCATCTCTTGTAACTAACCTGGATCCTTTGTTCTAAGACACATTTGTGGGCTTTCTGCAACTTAAATTAGTGAGTAATAAACTAATGATCAACTACTGTGGGGTGCATAGTATCTCTGCTGCTTTTGCATGCCCTTGAAAACTATTAGAAAAGAGCTGGTGTTTTACAGCATGCAGCTAGGGGCCAGTACCAGCTCACGTTTGCATTTTGCCTGACAAGCATATTTCTCAGCAGCGCCCTAAAGCAATAGCAGCTCATCTATATTGTGCACTATTTGCATACTCTAACAAGATGGGCTATAATTGGCCTTCATTGATTTTGTTTTCATTGAGCTAAAATAGAGTCAGAGCTTCTTAGGCAAGAAGAGCTGATTGATTTGTGGTAGGATTCAGGACTATTCAGTTGAAGAAATAATTAATTATGTTCTTATTTAGTAATTGTCAGGGTTTAAGTTTGCTCTTACCATTCAAGATAGTCCTGCTGAATTTTATCTCTAGGCTGAATCGCTCTTAAAAGCTGGGATAAAATGCCAGCACACATAAGGTAGTTCACAAGAAACAATACTTATTTCCTTCTCTACTCCTTCATTACCACCTTCTATCCCTGCACATCCTCCCCACTTACCCATATGCATGCAGTTCTTCTTTCCTCATTTTAATTGATCAGCTCTGTTCCTGACAGTTTTCTTTTAGAACAGTTCCAGGAAAACACTTTTTTAACCAGAAGCTGGAAAACATAAGGAATGTAATTGCTTTCTTTGGAAAAAGTGAATGGTCGCATGCTGTTAGGATTCTTTTTTTTTCTAATTTTGAGACAAACATTTGCCCAAGTGAAATGCTTCCTCATGCTGAGTGTGGATGTGGAACAAATAGGCTTAGCTCAGGCATGGGGATTGTTGATTATATGCTGTTATACACTTGTGAAACTGATACTGGATGAGAATGGGAGTGAGTTGTAGTTTTGCTGAAATGGGCATGGTGGATGTATTTTTGTTGTTGTCGTTTTTTTTTTTTTTGTTGTTTTTACCTTGTGGCTTTCTTACAATCTATCTATTAATTAAAACTTAGCAGTGTGCCTCTGGGCAGAGGCAGATTTTACGAGCTATTGCTTTAGAGTTGAATGTAAGGCTGCAGTGGCTATGTACAGCAAAGTTAGCCATGGCAGATATGTAACTTAGATGATAATTAGTATATCTTCTCTTCTTATCTTTTCCTAGCAGCATAGTATGGTGGCAACATTTCTTCTTTTAAAGTGGTGAATCTTACTGCAAATATGGCATTAAACTGTAATGAATTGAATCCAAGCCCTTTCTGTTCTACTGCCAGGAAAGCAGAGCTCAGTAAATGCCTTTCACCAAGCTGGTAAATGACAAAGAAACTTCCTGGGCAAACAACAACCGAATGTAAGAGATTGGGCTTTGTAAAAAATTAGTTCTTAAATAGAAGGCTTATCCACCAGCTTCACTGGATGCAGGGAGCCTCAATGAGTGCGCTGGACTCAGTTGCCAATAGTAAGTAGGACACAACCCCAGAGTGGCTTCGAGTCCTTCAGAAAATGCGAGTTGTAAGAATGGGAAAACCAAGACAGAAGAGTACTGGGAAAATAATAGCTCTGCTTTTTGCTGAGGAGGAGCAAAGTCTCATTGCAGTAGGCTAGCTCCTGCCCCCTCACCACTTGCTGTGCTGGAAGAGATGCAGCACTGCTGCAACTTTTGCTGCCTCTGGCACACATGGGCAGGACTGCTGTACGTACCAGGCAGTGCCTCCTCAGCTTGGGTATTTCAGATGGACGCATTGTTTTCCAAGAATGTTACCTCTTTCCACTTGCATTGGTGGAAATCTTGTAGGAACTGGGATGAAAAACTGCAATGTTGCTTTTCTTCTGAGCTTCTCAGAAATGGAAGAATTTAACTTGGAAGTTCTGTACCACATTAAAGTTTCTCTTTTCTTGCCCTTGTGTTTCCAAGAAAAAGCAGGCAAAAAAAGCATTTCATGGTTGTTTCCACTCATCAGTTTCTGTAGGAAAAAGAGTATGAAGAGACAGAAGGAAAGCAGATTCTGAGATTTGGTTGTGAGAATTTTTTTTATTTAATTTCAAATAACTTTTTTTTTCAAAATCAGAATGAAAAGAAATCAAAGCAAGCTTTTTTTTTTCTTTCTCTTTCTTCCATAGTCAAGTCTTTCTCAACATCAGTATGGTGCTAGATGCTGACCAGCTCATTCTCTTCAACTGGACTCTCTCATTGCATCATCAGAATTATTCTTTTTTTTTTTTTTTTTTTTGACCATGGTTATTCTCTGAACGGATGGTCCTATTTTGAGAACTTGAGGTCATGGGCTTTACTGCTTTCCATAAAGTTGTCTTTTATCCTATCTTTGTTGCTGAACTGTTTTGAGGAGCAGTAATGAGTCGCGTGCAGTCTTTCTTTGCCAAGTTGAACTGATTCATCAGAGTAGCATTTTATTATCAAAAGAAATGGCTGTACGTTAGGAGATAGTGGTAAGCATCATCTTGTTTGAGTATTTTCTCGTAGAGAATTAACTTGTGTGTACCTCGTGGGACTTCCATGCCATCTGCATCCCCATCTTGCTATTCTCTTTGTATCAGAGGTCACAGGCCAGTTCAGAGCAAGGAAAATAAGAATTGGTATGTTTTGCACCTGTGTGTTATAGCTTTCATAGATTCAGCAGGTAACTGGGTGGTATTTTTTGCCTTCACTCAATTCACAGAAGGCATCTTTTTTTCCACTGAATATATGTATCTGTTGGTTTGGACTCATGTATTTCTGCCTTACAATAGTGTTAGTGCTTAAGGCAGAGCACTGTTGTGAACTGTTGAACCTGATTCCCAAGAGTTTGATACGTTTTTCCCTTTGCTTTCACTGAAAACAGGATCAGGCCATAAATCTGCTTAAGATTTAACATGTGTATTACAGGCATTTTAAACTATATGGGCTTGGGATGGACGGGAGCTTCAAAGACTTGTCACTTGTGCTAGACTGGTTGCCTTTAACAATGAAGAGTTCTTTATGCTGCTATGTGCTGGATAATGAATGATCAGCTCAGCGGAAGATGAGCAGCTTGGGGGTTGTACAGATTATTGGACTGCATACTGTGGAACTTCAGCTATTGCACTGTAAAAGATAACAAATGATTAATTGATCTCATTCTTTGTACTTATCTTAATTGGTAGCAGTGCTTTGACCCCACTGGCTACTGTAGCAGCTTATGCTTAAACAGTGCTCTCTGAGGGGAGGGAAAAGGAAAAGTCAAGTTGCATGGGATGGGGAACAGAAAGTGCCACCAGGCAGTTTCCCCTCTGGCCCGTGTTATTGTTGTGGGTAAAATGGGAAGGAGAGAGCTGGAAAAGGGGAGATTCCAGGTCCAAGGGGAGCACTGGAAAACGTGTGGCTCTAATGCTGTGCACAGCAAGGGAGTGTCACAAGCAAACTTTGTTTTAACGGTCTGCCAGAAACCTTGAAACTTTTATTTCACAAAATGGAAGGGAAAAGCTCTTAAACTTTACAATATAAGTTAAGGAACCAGCTGTCGAACTACACTGTCGTTCCTATAATGAAATGGCCTTATAATGACTTGCATCTGGATAAACTGATGCTTTAGATGCTTTTAATAGATGCTTTTTGAGTTGTTCACCTGTCACCTTGGCAAGTTGCATCTTGCTTAGATGGGGGCAGTAGTTACATACAGTGGGTAAAACAGTTTCTTTTGCTGATACTTCTCAAAAGTTTGGAGTGAAGCTGAAGTAAAAGTTGTGACACTACACTTCAAAAATGAAAATGTGGAAATAATGTTGTGGGTATATGGTTGGATGGGTGGAGTATTAACTTGCCAGTACTCTTTATGACTGGGCTGCTGACACGGACAGAACCCCCTGGAGCAAAGTACAGCTTTTAACTAGATATGCTGCCCAATTTTGAAAAGGGCAGGCATCTGTTATTAGTGGCCTGCAGATGTGAAATTCTGTCAGGGGGAAAACAAGTCAATTCTCTAATGTGCTGTTTCTGGTTTTGCAACTTTGAAATAATTGCTGGTATAAGAGTTGAAACAGATACAAATGAGTGTGCTTTGGTGTTAGCAAATGGAGGGTATGTTAATCTCAGTGTGAAGAGTCTCAGTATGTTAATAACGATCAAATGAAATTGCACATTAATAATAATCATATGTCATATTGAATGTCCACAGCACTTTCTGCCCAGATGCTCTGAAATGTTTTATGAACTTTGGGAAATCACAACTAGATAAGGTAAGCAACATTGTTCACAATAGACAGTGTGGGGGGAGAGTGAAATTAGGAATTGGTAAGACTTGGCTCAGCTCACCAGATTTTCCTTGAGCAGAACTGGAATTTTGTCACTTGGTCTTGTGCAGTGATTTTTCTGTTCATTGATATTGCCAGACAGCAGGTCCCTTCTGGGTTAACTGCAGTTGAAGAACTGTAGCAAAACTTGCTAGTTCTGCCTGCCATCTTTGATGCTAATGAGCAATTTCTTTATACAATTTTTGGCACTCAAGATGCCCTCAGAAGATAGCAAGTATTGTGTATTTCATAGAAGTAAGGTATGAAAAAATCTTAAGGTTGTTTTCTTAATTTGTGTCTATTTCAATTAACTTTTTTAACTGCACGTCTTGTCTCGTAAAATGATGAACGCTTTCCAATTTATTGAAACAGTTGTTCTATAAAAGAGCAATATGCTTGAGCAACTCCTTGTAGTGATACATCATCATCAACCTTAGTAATGAGTGGGAGAGAGAGATAGGGATGCTTTTGGCTCCATTGAAAACATTTGTAGATTCTATCTGGAACAGATTTTATTAAAATTGCAACAAACTTTATAAAGCTCAGTATACGCTTCATTAAGGGAACATTACCTTACAATTATGATTAATTAGATTAAACTTATGAAAGTATGTTATTTGTTCAAATCAAAAGGGTGGTGGGGAAGAATGATGGATGATGAAAGAGTATGATAAATGAAGAAAGCAGCTGAACTAAATTGAATGTGTATTCATCCGTTTTCACTTCATAACTAATGATAAATTGAGCATGTCACATTTAACAATACATGTCTGAGCTTAAGCACAGTCCCAGCTCCTGTGCTCTAATGTCTTTTGTCAGGTAGCTGCATCCAGGGAATGTGATATTTTGTTTGGAGAAACCTACACAGTTCATTATCAATCTGTCCCTGCAATTGAAATCACAGATGAAAGCTCTTGCTTTCTTGAAATAAAATCACGGAAGTCTCAATTAGGACAGAGTTGTCTAGGAAGCACAGTCTGACTGTGATGCGTTAATTTGACTTGAAAAGCAAGTGATGTATTGAAAATTGTGCATTGTTGACAAGAATGCAGTTTGGGATAATTGCGAACTTGTATGAGCTTGCGAGGGTCAGAGTCTAACTCAGTGGCTTACAGTCCCTTGCAGCTACTTGTGGAAGGTGCTGTTTAGCATCAACTGAAATGTCAGAATTTGGTCCCAGATGCTCGGGATTCTGCATGGGCAATGCCTAGGTGTGGAATAGTTTCTCAGACTTCTGAACTCATACCACATTTTCTTCTCGGCTAACCATTTTCTCTTTCTGCAGGTAATCTGGAAAACAGTCTTTCCAGTGGTAATCAGCAGTTCTGCTTCTCTTCTTGGTTGTGATAGATGTGAAGCAAGATGACAGCAGTGAGTGAGTACTGAGGATCTTAGTTTTGTTTTTATCAAAAACAAAGGAAAACATTTTGTTCTGGGATCACTAAAAGCTTTGGCCAACATTTCATACCAACAATGTTATTTTAGCTGACTTGGCTCTTCCATTCCTGTTCCAAAGCTATTTGAACATTTTAGGCCAAAGTCAGTGTTGATGGATTGAGCCATACCGAGCTACACCACAAACAAATTTTGGGCAGCATTTCCAGAAATAGTTCAACTGTGATCCTGCAAATGCTTGTGTGCTGTAGACCACAGAACTGAGAAAAGGTTACTGTATAGTTTAAGACATAATGAAGACCAATTGCAGAAGGAACCAGATGCATGAAATAATAACCAAAAATACTCCAAAACCAAAATGGAAACAAATCCTTCATCTCTTTATGTGCTGAGCATGAAGGGATGTGCTCTGATCGAGTAACGTTTAGATCCCCAGTTACAATCACTGGCATAAATGTCATGTATAATCAGTAGCCAAGGGCTGCAGGTGAAACGTAGTCTCATGTCTTTCTCTGGTAATTAGAAGGGAGTTCCTTGTTGACTGTTTGCTATTGCTTTAAAGAGTGTAGAATCAGAGGCCTTCTTTTATTCTCCATGCTGTTCTGTCCCCTCTATTGGCAGTAAGATTTCTTGACAGAAGGACTGCATGCTGTGCCCCAACCTTGTCCTTTCCTGGGAGCATTCTGTGGAGTGTGAATAACAATTTGATTGCTTCTCCCCAACCCACCCCAACCTATGAGTGACCTCCCATGTGGTCACCACACAACTGTCATACTGAAAATTTGAGGGAGTAGGAAGTGTTGAGCACAGAAATACATTCTGGCCAGTTCCACGCTGGTGATCAGTTCAGGCCTGGTGTTGTCAGTTTATACGCATGAAATCTCTGGGAGGATGCCTAGGATTTCCTGAATGAGCTTGTTTCTCTTTCCTGTTTCCTTAAAAAGTTTTTTTTTTTTTTCTTGGAAGGCTGAGTGAGGAAAGCCCAGACCTGCTAAAGAAAAGGTGTTGCAGGAGACTCTGCTCCCAAAATGTTGTTCAATGGTTCGCATGGCATGACTGCAGGAAAGATATAGCCCCATCTGTCGTAAGTCCCTATCAGCAAGTAATAATAGCTACTGTGTTCTTTTGTTTTTAGTCCATGTGAGCTTTGGCAGTCTGGAAACTTGTTGCAGTTTTCTCCTACCTTCTTGCTACCTAGTATACATCACTAGCGTGTTCGTAAGGAGAGCTGTGGTGGTAATCTCTAGCTGAACTTGACTGACGTGAGCGAACACTCTTCAGATTGTGTCTGAAGCAGCAATGGACAAAAAAAAATTGCCCCTCCCCAGTATCTCATGCAAACTGGTCTTGCAGCAGTGTGAGCAGCAGCGTCCCATTTAAGATATGAGTGCGTTGAGTCACCCTATAAAGGGCTTACAGTGCAGAAACAGTGATAGCATGTGTAGGCTACATTAGTATTAGTATTTACATAATGTAGCATATACATTGAACTTTGTATCTTTTAAGTAAGATATGAACACTGGTTACTAAGCCAACAAGCACTTCAGAAAGTGTTAAAATGTTTTTGAGCCCTTAATTCAGGAGTTGCCCAAAGCTAATTGGTGTATGATGCTATACATAAGCATGGACGTCATACAGGTTCTGAAGGATTAAGCTATTTCAAAAAAGCTTGGTGACACTTAACTCTACCAGCCTCTCTGAAGTCAGTAAGAGGAAGTCAGGAATTGGTGTGTGAATAAAACTTGGGAAAAAACAAAACAAAACAAACAAAAACAACACCAACAAAAAAACACATCAAAATATTGAGAAGCAAACTGAAATGCTGAACTTGTTAACCAGTTTTAGAAATGTTCTAACTTCCCTTGACTCATGTAAGTGTTTCAAGTAGTTGTACTAATGCTCATCTGTGGCCTCAGATGACTGAATGCTTTGTAGTTAGATGTCAGGCATCACACCTGGCATGGATGTAGAGGTTCTACTTCTGTTAAGTCTTCTAAACTTTTCCTTCCTCTGTCCAGCAGAAATGCTGTAAAATGTTTTAGTCTGTCTAACTGATGAGTGCAGTAGAGGATTTCTCATTGTGTAGAGAAGAAATATATTTACACCCATAATCACGACCCATAGGATACAACCTGACTATCTGAACTGCTGAAGTCTTATCCTTTGTGAAGGCTATGTTAGCACATAGCACATCTAGCAGTCAGGTTAAGAGAAGAAGGATTCTGTTTAAATGACAGTGTAATGAAGAAACTACAGCACTGAACTGCAGAATTACTGGCAAAAAAAAAATTAAGGAATGTAATGGAAAGTCTTGTGCAAAGTAGCAGGTTTTTTTTTTCCTTGTGTTCTTGTTTGAATGCAGCTGCGTATTTTGTTGTTGTAGCTGACATGTGAAGCGCAAAATTTGTGCCTATCCTTGGCTGTTATTGGTAATGCTTCTCAAGCAATTGTTTATGGCAGCCACAGAAATATTTGACTGCTACCTGACTGAAGGGGGATTGTTTGAAAAATGATCTGTGCTGTGAATATATTAAAGACTCCAGGAAATGGAGTTATGTGAACCATGCGACTATTTTAGCCATCTGTAGCTGCAGTATCTCAGTAGCTGACTTTTGCCATGAAATTAGATTTGTGTGAAAATGGAGGGTGTCAAGCATTTGGAAGTATTCCCATGGGCTCTTTGGTTTTCTGTCCTTATTGCGATGAACTTGCATTTGTGTGTTGTCACTTTTACAAGCCCCTTTTCTGCCAGCTCCACTCTGCTTCAGCTGCTGTGTTCCCTTGTAGGAGAGGAAGAGTTGATTGAGCAAGATGAGAAGGTGACTCTTTTGGAGGAAATGCTACAGACAGTTCAGTTCCATTGTGGATAACACTTCTTTGATAAGCTACCATTTAGAATGTCACAGTTCGAGACTCCTTGAAAGAAGATAGCAGTGAGTACTTTCTTAGACTTTCCGGATGTATCCAAGTCTTTGCAGCATGAGCACCAATAAAATGAAGATATTGGGAATTATTCCTTTCTTAAAAGGTAGCCTTTCATCTTTAGAAAGGCCACCCTTCCCCCATACATGGTAGAAGCAGAAGGTAGAGAGGAGGCATGGGTGCAGGAATCATTAAAGTGAAATGTGAGTCATGTTCATTAAAGGCAAGCTAGCAGAATGTCTGATATTAGTGGCTGTGTAATGATTAGAGCTTCCTGTAATAATGATGATGGCGATTCAACTATATGAATTGAACATTCATTCTAAGTTAATTCACATCCTTTTAACTAATAAGTTACTTAAGGGAACAAAAAAAGAAGCCTTTTTTTAGCTGGCAATTTGAATAGACTGGAATAACACTGAGATAGCAATCCTCTCTCTGCAGTAGAGGGATTTGAACACTAATTTGTGTCTGAACTTTACACTGAAGGTATAGTTGTATTTGTTCATCAATCATTGATCTCCGCTAAATCAGAAACCTTCTTCACTACTAGTATGTTCCCAGTCAAGATTATAATAAAGAACCTTGCTCTAGTGTGAAACTACTTAAAAAGAACTACAATTTTTGGCATTCTGCGGCATGGCAGGAAGATGAGTGATTTGCTGTTTGCCAAATAATTATTTACCATCTCAGTTTTGAACAAGAAACCATGGTCTACAAATATTACTCGTCTATGAGATGCGAAGAAGAATTGTTTCTTGTATACAGGAAAGATAAACTTCGAATAGTGAGGTGTAAAGGAGAGCAAAATGGTTTAAGCCAAATAGTGAAGGAAAGGTTTGGAAGTAGTAACTTTGCAGTAGTCCCTCAGCAAGGAGGAAAACTTGTGGTTAAAGCTGTTTAAAGGTAGCCTGGATGGGGGGGATGTGAAGAGGAAGCAGATAAAGTGCCCTAATGAATGGGTGAGTGGATGCACTATGATAATCGGTCTCTTGTGCTTGTAGTTTTGCTCATTCTGGAGATCTGGACCCATTAGTAAATTGAAGACCTTAGAAGCTGTTCCACTCAAGTCAACATCTGGATGTTTGCAATTTCACCTGAACAACTTAAGGAAGTTAATAAAGTGAGTGCTCTCATCAGTTTATAAAATGCTTATTTGGCATAGGTATGTCAAAGAAAATAGTGTAATTAGACATAAGCACTGTACGGAAAACTGTGGTGTTTGGGCATTTTAAACTTCTCAGATGCAACAATTGAGTTAGTATTATAATTTTCCATTTTAGTATTACATGTATTAAAGTACTACTTGCACTGCTGTACACAACAAGACTACTCATCAAAACCTTGGCTCTAAACACTCCTGGAATTTGGAGGAATTCCAAATTATGTTGTGAAGTGAGAGGTTCAAACTGAACTTCAGATTAATATAATTTGGCATGAATCTGGATGATAGATTCTAACGCCTTCGTACATTCAAGTTGATTCATTTAGGTTCTAGTATTTGAAAGCATTTTCAGATTTATTTGTGAAGAACTGTGAAACTGCAGGAATTGTGAAGAACTTTCCATAAATTATCCCTCAGGTTTTTGTCTTGTTTTTGACATTCAGTCTTAACTGCAAAGCTCTGTCAGTATCTCTGTTCTGCTGGAATCATTGCATGTATTTGTTGCATTGTGTGTTAATCGTGTGAAAATGAATATACTGTTATTTGAGATGTAATTCTGACTGGTTGGAAGAATGATTCCCTTTGGATGTTAACAAATTCTTGAGGAGGAGAGTTGAGGAGGGCTTGCTGGTGAGTGGTTTTTCTGAGTGGTTTTTCTGCAGGCTTAAGGAGCTGTCCAGTATTGTTTTCTGGGTGAAATTTGCAAATTTTTTTTTCTTTTTTTCTTCCTTTATGATGAGAACTTTCTTGGTTTTCAATGGACGAGGTTTGGTTCTTTACAAGTGCAAGAAGTCGTCCTTATTGCATTAAAAGACCCTCTGGGATAGTGGTATTGGAATACACTCAAGATCAGGCTAGGACAACTTTTTAGTTCTTTGTTCATCTGTGTCAGTTAAAAAACCTTTTTTTTTTTTTAAATTATTATATGGAATATGAGATTCCCACTTCAGAGTATAACTCATTTGGAATCATCTGAGAGAAAAAGTCACTTGAAATTTCCTTAAGCAAGAAAACATCACAGAATCATAGAAAGGACCATGATGACCATCAAGTCATCAAGGGTCACCAGTCACTAGACCAGGCTGCCCAGAGCCACATCCAGCCTGGCTTTGAATGCCTCCAGAGCATCCACAACCTGTTCCAGTGTGTCACCACCCTCTGTGTGAAAAATTTCCTCCTAATATCTAACCTAAACCTCCCCTGTCTCAGTTTAAAACCATTCCCCCTTATCCTATCACTGTCCACCTCGTAAACAGCCATTCCCCCTCCTGTTTATACGCTCCCTTCAAGAACTGGAAGGCCACAATGAGGTCTCCCTGGAGCCTTCTCTTCTCCAGGCTAAACAAGCCCAGTTCCCTCAATCTTTCCTCATAGGAGAGCTCTCTGAGTGCTCCAGCCCTCTGATCGTCTTAGTGGCCCTCCTCTGGACCCACTCCAAGAGCTCCACATCCTTCCTGTGCTGGGGGCCCCAGGCCTGGATGCAGTACTGCAGATGGAGCCTCATAAGAGCTGAGTAGAGGGAGACAATCACCACCTCCCTGCTGGCCACCCCTTTTTTAATGCAGCCTGAAACAACACTCTAAAGAAGACACTGCTTATCAACAGCAAGTGATTTTGAGTCAGAGGCCTTTGAAAGAAGAACTTTTTTCCTTCTAGATCTTTAAATAAATTTTGTTCACCTGAGTTGACCATAGACTGTGTCTCTATAACAGTTTTTGCATAGCTTCTGCCATAATTTCTGTTCAAATACTAATTTTATTGAATTTAAATTGATCATCTGAGTGGATTGCGTATGTTTAGACATGAGTTTGGAAGACACAATGTACTGGACCGAGGGCTCAGCATAGTTTATAATCTTGATGTAAAATCTGGCAGACTTCCTAACTTGTGGATGAGCGGTAGAGTCTAAGTTGTACTTTGTGAAGTGCAAAGATCTCGTAGCATGCTGAGCAGTTTTGAATTTCTTGTGAGGCTTACCTCTTCTGATTTTAAACCATACCACTTCCCTCAGAAGTTTAGTGTGCTTCCAAATTCTTCACTCGTGGCAAGACCCATAGTTATTAAGGACCATGACAGAAACATTGAAGAATACCGAGTATTCCACTCCAAATCATAAATGAATTTTTGAATATGTGGCAAGGCTGACATATGTGTTGCCTAGAGCTTTCCTGTTTCCATGAAGATAGCTGGATGTTAGAAATGTGTTTGTATTCAGAATTAAAATGGTCAAAAATAACATTCATGGACTGTAATTAGTGATCTTTTTGGGTTTATTTTTTTCTTTTGCCAACAAATACTATGTTCTGATAAAGTTGCAGTTTGATTAACCTTACTTTTAATGGTATTCAGAAACCTGTCTTCTGCAGAAGGTGATTGTATCTATTGTCTCACTACAGTGATGTAATCATTGGTGTTTGCTATTATCTTTTCATATTGAATATGAAAACTGCATTCAGCTTTACTGTGAAATTCACAAAGAACTAGCTTTTGGGCAATTTGTAAAAGAGCTTTTTATCCTTCCAATCTGGTCATCCAGTCATCCACATTTTAGCTCCAAGGGGAATCACTTGTAAAAAGCTTATTTCCCTTTCCCCTACTGCCTCTCCCAATACTCTCCTTTCCTTCTACCTCCTTTTCTTAACCTCATCTAGATACCTATTAGCTTGCTTTTCACTGCTCTGGCTTCCATGAAAGTGCTTTTTAATGTAGGAGATGTACTTCAGCCATAACACCAGGGTCACTTTCTGAGTAACATTTTATGGGATTGATTAAACTTTAACACCATAACTGTTGACTTTATAGGCCAAGAAAGAGACTCTGAGTGCTAAGCTCTGGATAATTTGTGCTTCACAATTTTTTAAAATCAAATAGATATAAGCGTTTAATGTATTTGATAAAGTAGCCCTCTTTTTTTTCCTGTGTCTCCTATTTTAAAAGACCCCCAACATTTAACATGAAATAAAGTCTTTAACACTAATGAAGTAAAGTTATAGTAAATAACTGTATAAAAAAAAAAAAAAAAAAAAAAAAGGTGTACAGCCCTATGGAAAGAGAAAGGATATAATTTGCCTGGCTCCAAATGTGAGCGCTTCATAGAAAGTGAATGAAGGGGTGCTGTTAGTTGAGGGTTGAGGTTGCAAAAATGTATCTTTTTTTTTTTTTTTTTTTTCCCTCTGGGAATTCTCTTGTCTCCTAAATTGCTTTTGCACAGGCCTTACTGCTGATAAATTGCTGGACAGGAACACATCTGTCCATGTACCAAGTAGAAAGATGAGTGTAAAGAAGTGTTTGATGGAAGAGTGTGACTGAGGACCAGAGGACAGTTCTCATGTTGGTTGCAGTCTCCCATGTCTCTAAGCAGTCACCTGTGACCTCATAACCTCATGTGGCAAGTGGCTAGCCAGGGTCTGGTTCTTCCCTTTTGCCTGTGGGAAACTCCTCTGGCTTTTGTCGTGCTTTTCCCTATTACACTGGTTCTTTGGCTCAGCATAGGGGAAGCGGTGTTGCATTGGTTTGTGATGCTGAATGAGTAAAATCCAATGCATGGTAGACAAAATCAAAGATCCTGGGGATGTATCCAAGCTGTTAGGATATGCTGCATCTTCTAAGAATGACTCCTCAGAGCACCTTTCTACTCTACTCAGAGGAAACTTGCATCTGGGAAAATTATGTGCAGATAGGTATTATGAACATGAACTTCCAGTGGGGTTTCCAGTTCTCAGAGTGTAAATGATAATTAAAAGCTCTTGATGAATCCCCCAGAGCATTCAGCCTGTATTACGGTAAAACCCAGGCATTTTCAAGGTGAGAGAGATCTTCCTAGTGGGATAAGATGACTTGGTGTGACCACTGAGTGTAGTTATGGCCTGGCATCAGCAAATTTGCTGATGAAGTCATGGTAAGATTGTTATTTTAGAAAATCAATAATGTGGTTAATAGTCTTGTCCTAACATTTCTTGGGAAGGGTAATTGTACAGTTGAAAAAGGAGCCAAATTTTAGAAGCCTTGTGGCTTACTGTTTGAGTTGAAACATTCCTAAATGGAATGGAAAACCAGATTATGCTTCTATTGCTAGCATCCAGAAAAACTTCACCTACTTGATCATCTCAGCCAGTTTTCCCTGCTGAGGCATGAAGAAGTCATGTAGACGAGCACTATTGCTTGACTGAATGCACGATAAATCTGGCCTCTGAGGAAGTCAAATATCCTGAGAGCTGCTGGAAAAATCTGGAGTTGCCTGGCACCGTTGCCAGTAGCCCCAACAGATGTGCATCTCCTACTGCTCTTCTTCACAGACTCTCATAGTGGAGAGGGGTAGAGAGAGCAGTGAGCTAAAGGCAGATATTGAGGACTGCCTGAAACCGTTATTTCATCAAAAGTTCAGCAGTGCTGTTAAGAGGGATTGGATGTTGCAAGAGGCAGTCAGTGCTCAGGAGATCCCTGAAACAATCATAGAATCAGAGGGTTGGAAGGGACCTCAAGGATCATGAATCTCCAACCCCCCTGCCACAGGCAGGGCCAATAACCTCCACATTTAATACTAGACCAGGCCGCTAACTGAGATTAACATCCAGGAGAAAAAGTACTGTCTTGATCTCATGCTGTTTGTCTGGGATTCTGATGCTCGAAGCTGTCAGAGATTGGTGTGGTACTGAGTGGATCTTGAGTCTGTTCCTGGGTGCTTATGAAAACCCTGTTCTTAACTAAGATCTAAAATATTTTATTTTCTTTGCTAGAGTTAAGCATATGAAATGTAACACACTTTTTTTTGGTCGCTCAAGTTTCCATTTTATCCTGGCTTCTCAGACTTGAAAAAAGAGAAATTGGAAGAGTTTGGGGTTTTTTTTCTTCCTTCTTTGATCTTGTTCTTTGCAAAGCTGGACATCCACAGCCTGTGGACTACTTCTGTGCACAA